GGAGGCAGTATGACCTCTGAAACGTTGGTAAACATCTACCAGACTACACAGCGCAACAACCCAGAAGACAGAAATCTTCATCGCCCTGATGACGGAGGCAGTATGACCTCTGAAACGTTGGTTAACATCGACTAGACTACACAGCACAACAACCCAGAAGACAGAAATCTTTATACTCACCGCTGTGAAAACCTCAAATCTTACATGTCCATATCATTTAGTCTGTTTCGTTGAAACATACTGTCCACAGGTGCAAACCCTGAACCATCCTGTATGGACATCCTGTCAGATCTGGCACAGTTATGTGCGCGCTTCAGTGATCTGGCACCCACAAGTGACGGACTGCGCTGGTGCCTGCAGCTGGAGCCCACATTGCTGGGGGATGTGCAGGCGCAGTACCAGGTGGGCTGTTTCCGCATGGGGCCCGATGGAATGTCAGTCCATCCTCCCGTCAACACAACTGTACAGCCCAGGTACGGATTTCTCTCATGTCGCTCTACTGCCGTGTGAATTCCTGTCAACCCCCCAGTCTGCCTTCACCCACGCAACTGAAAAGACCTGGAAACAACACCAAGTTTGAAATCTGGAATAATGACAAAAAATGTGATATGTTGACCTATGTTTTTAGATATATATAGGCTGGCTAAAAAATATTTGGCTTCTTGTTTTAAATTTGTATCTTTTTGAATGTTACAAAGTGGAAGTGGAGCAACAGTGTTTAAAATGTTATCTGTGTCTTCTCAGTTTTAATAAGAGTTAACCCATTGTTTCTTCTAGGTCTGATCTGAAAGGGGTAACAGACACACTGATTTAATTCCTTTCAATACTAGGTTTGCTGTTATGTAAGCAGTCATGCGTTACTAAACACGTACATATCAGAGAATGGAAACTTTAATCAATAACAAACTCGTACAGGTTTCATTTACCGTCTTAAGCTAATGTACTTTATGTGCAGAAGTAATATGGAATGCAATTTCAACTTCGGGTATCAATGCTGAATGCAATTTATATCTTTCTGCAGTAGCACTGGCCCTTCTGATATGAATTTGCCAAGTGAGGAGACACCAGAAGAAATAAATGAGGAAGCACTTATAGCTGCAGTGAATGAATCAGCGGAAGAAGGAATTGCATTCTTCAGTAACCTCTTGGGAATTACGTTTGGCGGTGGAGAGGCACCTGGAAATACCACCGAGACGGACAGCACAACAGAGACAACTAGTCAGAATCCAGCACCTGAACACACTCCACTTCCTTAGATTAGATTGATGTTCGCATTATAACCGGACGTGGTACATCAGATCAGAAGAAATACATATGAAGTGCTGCAACGATTTTTGAGGTAAAATTTTAAGATATGTGTCAGTTGTAATTATATTATATTTTTGTCAATTATTATTTAATTAAATTATTAAACACCATAATAAGTGGCTTTCCAATAAGCACTATTACTCATTTATAACAGTCCAGAACTTGGAAATATCTGATATATAAATTCCTCTTGCTCTAGCCTCCCCAAAAATGTTTGACATGCTTTGTTATAATCTAACATGGTGAATACAACATGATTTTCATCCTATTTTAAGTGTGGCTATTTTCAGTGAAGGACAACCATTAATTCATGAATGACACCCGGTGTCTGCCAGACTCAGTCTGTGCAACACCCAATCTCTGCTAGTCTTGATCTCTGGCTCACACAGTCTCTGCTGGACTCGGTCTCTGCCTCATGCGGGCTCTGAACACAACGCACTTGCAAAGACAGACGTGATGTACAGAGCATGGATCGTGCACAGACCGAAGCCGGAAGAGACCGTGTCTGTCATAGATGGCAGGGCAAAGACAGAACGGCAGAGAGCAAGTCCGGTGTATAGCATGGGTGGAAAGACATTTTAATAAATGTCAATTTTTTTCGAAATTTTCGAAAAATTAAGAAATATAGGAAAATGCCCAAATGGCGCACAAAACTAAATTTTTTTGAAAAATTCCGACTTCTAATTTTGTTTAGAAATTGCAAAAAAAAAATACTTTTGCTTTTCACGCCATTTAGAACCATCCGATCTTCAGCACGTCAGCTAGTGTCTGTATGTCCAAGCACGGTACTTGCTAAACCCGTACCCTGCCGCACACAGACACAGCAAGAGACGGTCTCTGCATCACCCACTCTCTGCCGGATGCAGTTTCTCTATCATCCGTTCTCTTCCGGTCTACATCCTTGCAGGCGATACATCCGAGACGGTAGTCCACATAGAATCCTACAGAGACCGAAAACAGTAGAGACTTCGTCCTTCAGAGGGAGTGAATTTCAGAGTCCGTGTGCGGCAGACAACGGTTCTAGCAGATAAAGGTGGGGAAAATTTTGAAAAAAAAAATTCAAAATTTCCAAAATTTTAAAAAAATTATAAAATGCTGGAAAATGTCCAAATGGCGCACAAAACCAAAAAGTTTAGAAAATTTTCAGCTTCAAAAACATTTTCAAAAATTTCGAATATTTTTGGTATTGTGCGCTTTTCACACAATTTACAGCATTTCTTTATTTTTCAAAAATTTAGAAACATTTTCAAAATTTTTCACATCCGATCTTTAGCAGAACACGACAGCTATTGTCTGTGTGTCCAACCACGCGGAAGTGACCGGGTCGTGCACAGACGGTCC